AGAGAGAGAGAGAGAGTAGTTCATCTTATTCTCTTGCCCCTTCAGAGAGCCAGCTTTTGAGAAACAATGAAGCAGAGGAGACAACATTCGAAAAAGATGACTCTTGAGAGGTTGGATTCTGGGTTGTCGAGGACTCATAGGAAATGGTGCATGCCAAACTTGTGTCATGGCCAGAAGATGTAGTAGTCATAAGAAAGACCGGCTTATACAACTACATAATTAATCTGTTGTTATTCACACAAAAATAAATAAATCCATTGTAAAGGGCGGGGGGCACTTGATAAGGGAACCCTGGTAAATGGCACTTGCAGACCTCGAGGCCAATCAGCTGAGGACCTTGATTCCTATACTTTAAGAATCTCAATATCAGAATAGGAGGAACCCTATATATGACATATTTAAACCTCGATTCCTTAACCAAGGGAACTCGTACTAGCTCTATTTACAACCTCATTTTTTTGAGTGGAGCTTAGATTCCTACTAGTCAAAATATCGAACCTATTGACATTGGATCTTGCTTCCATAAACCTACGGATCTCGCTCCTTGTCTTGTTCATTGTACGGACGCTGATCCTTACCCCAAGGAGCTTCCATTACAGGGCGGTTCCGCAAATACCGAACCGATCCCGCTCCCGCCTCTAATCACTATGGTCTAGAGCATGCCACATGAGATACCTGATTAGAATGATGAAAATCGGATGATCTGCTGTATGACTTGTGTATTGTAATGAGCTAGTGTTGGATATAGTAAGCGTATTTTTTCCTTGCAATATGCCATTTAGCAGGGAAGTCCTCCTGTGACTCAAATTTTTTCTCTCTGTAGTTATGCCTAGTTTTCCATTTAATAGAGTTCATGCCCATGAGATCTGTTAGGCCCCAACTGATGCAATCTCCACCTCCTGGATTCCACGATTCTACACCTTTGATATTCAACTTAAGCCACCACGTTGCAGTGCAAGCTCAGCACATGTTTGAAACCTGGGTTGTGGGCAGTGGTGGCATCAGTCTGAGTCTCTTTGGTGACAGATTGTTTGGGTCTCATTACTGTGCTACTCACCTGAAGCAACTGCTTGACCTTCCCCTGACCTTCGTTCTAGCATTGGTGTTAGTGAAATCTCCTTCAATCATGGGGTAGGAAGCTTAGACAGAACACAAGAAGCCTAGATGAAACGCAAGAAGCCTACATTGACTTTTCTTGGTCCAGTACGCAAAGCCCTTATAAAATGAGGCGTGAAGTAGGTCCTCGCATATTTATGAAACTACTTGATTTAGAGGCCTTTTGAGTAAATTGATAATTGATTTGTAGGCAACGAGCAAAGTCAGTGGTAGCAACAAGCAACCAAAGCCCTCTAAACTATTGGAAGCCTCTGCTACGCATGCCAGTTACGTAGCATAACGGATAACATTTTAAAGGTCAACGTTTGCCCCTTTCCTCACACATCAAAGTTAATCAAGAGGTATTGGTGCGCGGATGATTCCCTAGTTGAGTTGGCTCAACCAAATCTCGTTGGGTCAAACAGCATGTTGATTATACCATGAGGTTTGCTTCTGAGGTTTTTATGAGTTGGTCCTTTTCATGTTCTGTAGGAATTACTTAGTTACTGATGTCCTAAATAGGTCTTTTGGATTCTCAGTTTCAGTTGTTTTCATCCTCGAGTTTCATTTTTTATAATTCAACTGATTCCATACATGGAAATATTAAGCCTCCATGTATAGCATAATGATTACTGCCCTTAGGCTGAGCAACATAAATGCAAGGCACAAATACAAACAGTTAAAATACCTCTCTGTAAGTATCATGGGGAATACAAACATTAAAAAAAAAAAAGTTATCATGGGGAATACAATTAGCAGTTAGTAGGTAACACTACTGGAATGATTTTGAATTTTTTGGTAGAACCTTCACTCAGCTTAAGTTGCATGCATATAAAGTAATTTGGACATTTTGGCTTCCTGGGAGTCACCTCTAAATAGTCTGCTTATTTCAAGGAGAAACGTTATATGTTACTAGATCTTGATCAATTTGCTAACTATTAATGTTTAATTTTGTCTTATTCCCTTCGTAGTCTCAGTTCTACAGAAAATGGATGTCTAAACTGATGGTAGAATCCAACTAGCAAATGGGTTTCATTTTACATGATTTTTATGGTTGTAAAAGTTCAATATGAGCTCTATCTATTATCTATGCACTAATCTCCATGGGAGTTTAACCGCTATGGGTATTAGCCTATCATTCAATCTTAAAAGTGTTTGTGGAATTCTACAGGAGGCAAACTTTTGATTCAAGAACTGACTTCCATTTTTGACGGATTTGCACGATTAACTGCATTGGAACAGGATGATTCCAGGGCTACTTTGGCTCCTAAGGTTTTTTATGGTTCACATGTATCACAAAATGTATCATTTGTGCCGTTCTTTTCAAAGTTCTGGATGACAATGAGTTTTATACGTGTACCTTCATGAAACTCTTTTTAGTAATCTATTTGCCCAATAGTTATAGAATGCAAATAG